GAAACATAGAAAACACGGAAAAACAGGCAAAATCAAGTAAAAACAGAGAAAAACATTGGAAAACAGGGGAAAACGTGGAACAACACGGGAAAACAGGGAGAATCAGAGGAATACATAGAGAAACACGTAAGAACAGGGAGAATCAAGGAAAAACATAGAAAAACACGGGAAAACAGGGGAAAACGTAGAAAAACACGGGAAAACGGGGAGAATCAAGAAAAAACATAGAAAAACATGGGAAACCAGCAGAAAACGTAGGAAAACACGGGAAAACGGGCAGAATCAGCGGAAAACATAGAAAAACACTGGAAAACAGGGGAAAACGTAGAAAAACACGGGAAACATAGGGAAAACAAGGGAAATGCATAGAAACATAGGGAAACTTCTGTATATATGCTGGGGACATGTTATGGAGTCTTACATGAGATACTGACTGTCCTTGGGATTTGCTGAAACCAGTTTGCATAAAACTAAAAGAAAGATATGGGAAACCATAAAAAAAAGGTTTACTAGACCAGCGAAAATGATTTTTTTCCAGTTAAGCTTGTTTACCGATTTTGCCGTGACACGTCTGAAATTCTTACTGTATGCGACCCACATGAAGGTCTATGAACGCCGTGAAAATTCGTCGTGAGTTCTGACCTCAGGTTCATGCATATACATAGACTACGAGTAGTCCCCAGTTTTCCCCAGGGATAGTAGAGCGAGCAAAACGCGGGCGCGCGTGAAAATCAGCCCACGCGAGAAAAGGCGACACGCGGCGGGGAGCCAGAGAAAAATGAGGGACTACAGACAAAGCCCAAGCTTTTGAACTAATGCGTTGCTCTCACAACGCAAAACTCTAATTGGCTCTTCCATGGCAATCTGTCAACATCTGTCAAAAACGCGTCAGCCGCTATCAACACTCGACATAATCATAATTTCTGTCAATATGGCAGACAAACTTCAGGCATGTCTCGAAAAAATTCCAAACATAACATCGCTTAAACAGGAACAGACTCAAGCAGTGGGGGCTCTGTTGGCGGGGAAGGATGTGCTCGCGATACTTCCTGGCGGATTTGGAAAAAGTTTGATTTATCAAGTCTTTAGTATGGCGCAAACATCTGCGAACGCGAGCGTCCTGGTTATCTCACCACTCAACACCATTGTGGAAGAACAGGCAAAAGAAATGAACGGCCTTGGTATTAGATCGGTTCACTTGAAACCTGACATTGAGGATTGTTTGCATGATATTTCGGACGGACATTTTCGAATGATTTTCGCTTCAGCTGAAGACTGCTTATCCAAGAGAGGAGCGGAACCCCATTCTCTATTTTCCAATTGCCCATAATACACTCTGTTTGCCCCCCAAATTCTGCATAAACCATTGTTTTTAAATGCTCCTGGGAGTATTGCATTTTCCCAAGAGCATTTTAAGACAATGAGTTATGCAAAATTTGGGGAGCAAACAGAGTGTATTATGGGCAATTGGAGAATAGTCAATTCGAAACTAAACATTTTTTTTGTTGTTATCGACGAATGCCACACGGTTGAGACATGGTAAATATGTTGTTTTGAATTTGTTCCTTCGCGTACGATTGACTGATATCCCTTTAATACAATATCAGTGTACTCTTCATTCGAACTTTATCTGCCGATTTGCATGTCAAAATTTTTTCTACGGCATGATTTTTTTTCTCGCAGGGGCACAGATCAAAAGAAAGGAAAGCTATTTCTTTTCTTTCTCAACGCCCGCTCGTTTAGGGATCTCAAAGAGATTCTGTGTAGAAACTTTTCGTTTAAAATCACCGTGATAAGTATTGAAGTTACAGCCACAAACACGACAAAAGTCACTGCAACTTGGCTTTTTTAAAGGTCTTCCAACGGACTTTTTCGGCGTTTCAGCCATTCAACAGTTCTTCGCGCGAAACAGCGGCGAAGAAAATTTGTGTCTGGGTTTTCTTTTACTTGCAATAAATATCCCCTGCAGTTTACCGATGACAAGGGCAATGACAACTCAATGAGAGAACGAATCCCATTGGATGCGCTTAATTTATTTGGAACGTAATACGAACTTCACACTCCAAAATCAGTCGGCCGTGAAGGGTCAAAAGCTTGGGCTTTGTCTGTAGTCCGTCTTCTCTCTCCCCGCCGCGTGTCGCCTTTTCTCGCGTGGGGTGATTTTCACGCGCGCTCGCGATTCGCTCGCTCTACTATCCCTGAGGAAAAATGGGGACTACTTGAGTCTAGCATATACATGGTCAGGTGAATAAAGACTTGGGGATTTGTTTCCGCTCCTGTCGTTGTTGTCTTTGTGCTGTTCAATAAAACAAACGACTAAAATTTGTTTTTCGTTTTTTTTAGGATAGCAATCATACGCGTAATTTTCTCCTGTTCATGTTCATACTGTTGAACAACTGAAATTTGACTGATAATATTCCTGGCTACTGGCAAGTCAGGTAAATTATTTCGAGGTACATATTACTCTACTGATGTTTGTTTTTGATCGATTCGATTAGTGAGTATACTGAAACTTTTTTTTCTTTCCTTACTGTAGGTTTACAACCCGCATTCACCATTCAAGTCATGCTATCAATCGTTGTGGACAATGCTTCTTTGATTATTTGGAATGTGAATCATTTTACCAGCACCATGACAAACAATTAAAGCTGAATTTGTTGGACAGCCAACGCTGCCGAGATGTTCACATGAGTGTTACACGCGAATTTCTCGCTTGAAATGACAGAGCTTAAAGTAGATAACACCCGGCGTATTTAATCGAACAAAATCGGACCAAATTCAATCGAACCAATCGAACACCAATCGCTCGTTTGGGTTCGGTAATCGAACATAATCGAACATCTTTTTTTGCTGTGAGTTCGATTATCGAACCAATCGAACAAGAGCGCAATCGAACTCAATCCAAATCGATTTTGTTCGGGATGCATTTCTTGATAGCGGAGCTCCACGCGCGCGCGAAGCGCGCGCGTGGGCGGAGCCCCATAGCTTAGTAAATCTACCCATCCCAGAAAATTTGGTACTCACGTGACCGTACACCGACCGCCGACCGACCGTCCGTCCGCACCACAGGACAGCCAATGTTTACTCTCACACTTTTAACTAGTTTTGGAGCCCAAGAGAAAACCAATTGCACATCAATGTTGTGATCAATTGATAGCTGTCAAAACAGGGCATCCGTTTACCAGGATCACCTGACCGTAGCGCGGGTTCAAGTGTCGACCCATCGAGGTCGAGTATTTTTTTGAAGTTATCCGCTGACAAATTACCAGTTTGAAATGATCGCAGTCTCAAGTTTATTTTTCCAAGGATTCATATCAAATATGTTGTGTTTATGTCACTATGGCCCCGCACTATTAGGATTTTGATTTCAAACTGACTTCGGAAGCGAAAATTCAGCCAGTTTTTTTAAAAGTACAGGCGGGGAAGACCTTTTCTTACCACTGTCACGCGTTGGTCACGCTCTACGCCCAATTTTTATACTCTGATTGGTCAAAATTTGACAGGTGAGTTCATACGAAAAAATTATATGCAGCATCTTGAAAGTTGTTTACTTTGACAGCTGAAGCTAAAGAGTTTTGTGTCAACTTGTGATGTTTTTAACTGTCTTTTTCTTCTGGATGTACAAAATGAAATACAGCTGCTATCAAGAGTCTTCTGTTATTCATGGCTGGTTTGTTTACTGGGTTTTTGGTTGAGAAACGCATCGCTTGTCAAAATTTGGTAATTCGATTTCGGATGGCATCGTTTTTCACCATAATGGCCTATAAAGATCTATAAAGGGAGGCTCTGTCAAAAAGGGGTACCTTGCAAATTATTTTTTCTCTAACGTC